TATTTTGCTTCGCATCAGCTATGATAAAGAGGCATCCACTATTGCATTGCATGTTTGTTCATTTTGGGGGCGGAGAAATGAAGGGAGAGTTGTGTTTGTTTGGGTTGATTTCAAATATCAACAGTGTTTCTCATGAATCACTTACTGTACCTTAAAGACCTGAAAACTAGTTTAGACTGGTTAAAGCTGTTTTTTATGTTTTTGGGGGTCATTAACCTTTATCATCAACCTTTATTCTCAACACAGATGTAGGAGCAAGTCCAAGGCCAGAAACATTATTAAGGGTAACTAACTATTTAGGGCCAAACATGGGGGTAAAACAGCAAGATAAACCATAACAAAAACCATCACCATCATAAACACAAACACTCTGTGGCATTTTCAAAAATGTATTATGTCTGGGAACATCCTGCCAGTGTTTAATTACATCACTAATGCCGTTCTGATGTGTCCCCCAAGGACATGATAATATCCACATAACTTTAAGATGCTGAATAGTAAAAATACAAAGTAAAGAATGTCACTGTCTATGTCTATGTCATGGCACAATTCACATTCGCAGGCACAGATACAGGTCACACACTGAGTGTGTGTGCAGCTATCTACGTGAGACAAACCACAAAAGCTCAGCTCAACAGAATGATGGAGAGGTTTATATTTTATTCTGGATTCTGTGGGCCTTTTGCTGCTCTTTACACAGTCTGCCTGTGATAAATGATAAGACACTTGAACCGCACTGAAATGACATTGAGGGTATCATTCTGAAAGACCTTAAAAAGGGCAGGATTGATAGATATCACAAGCCATTGTGCTGCTACCAGGACAAAGACAATCCTGTTACAAGGATATACAGTTACATATCAAAATACATAAGATGACATTTGCAAAAAGACAAACATTGCTAGATAATTACTGAATTTTGTGCATTCTGCTTCTTTAAATTTAATCAGAGATTATAGATTCATCTTTTTCAACGTGATAATTAATCCAGTAAGATGTATCCTATCTTTTCATCAAACTGAGTAAAGATGATGAAAACATACACCATCTGGACATTACACCTGCAAATTAAGAAGGTTTGTTGGGTGATGGATTTAATTTCGTTACTGGGGTGGAGCAATTTCATTCTTTCAGTTTCCTCTGTGAGCATATACCACCACCTACTGACGAGCTATTGCAGTGACATGGGAAAAATGTCCTAGTAGGGATGCAGATGCACAGTAGTAATTATCTTCTGTCTAAATTAGATTACTACTGTCTGTATGTCTTTCTGGCGTGGCAGCATCACATCAAACTGTCCCTATCTGACCTTTCTAGGCTACAATACGATACATAAAATATTAATTTGATCAAATATTTTTTCAATTATTTTGATTCATACTTCTGTTTGAAAATGTTTGTATTTTGAAAATCTATTTCTGTAGGCTATTGTGTCTCATTTTATTGTTTTGTTTTTCATTTGTTTAATCCCATGGTGCTGATCATTTTCAATGAAGAAAGCTCTTAATGACACAACAGCATTGCCAGTATGTGACACAAATAAAGTGGGCCTATACAGAAGCACACGGTTAAGATGACTGAAAATGCATCAGCTATTAGTGAGTCGTGACAATCTTACAAAGAGAAGGAAATTGTTGCGACTCATTTCGCCTACTATACTACGCCATAAAGTAGGCTACTCTTTTTGTGAAGAAAAAGCGATAGGCTACTACTGACTACTGATTGTGTAGCAGAGGAATATGCAAGATTTCCCAAAACATTCTACCATGTCAAAATATTGCAGCATAAAGGGATAATTCACCCAGAAATTCTGTCATAATTGACTCACCCTCGAGTTGTTCCAAACCTGTATGAAGTTCTTTCTTCTGTTGAACACAAAATAAGATATTTTGAAGAATATGATAGCAGTAGCGGCTCCTGGCCATACATTTAGGTAGGGCAGATTCTGGGTCTTAGCGCTAGTTAATGATACACATTTTGTAAGCTCTATATTATCGTAATCGCTGGACACATCAGACACACTTTTGGCAGAATTCTATTTATTTATTCAGGCGTTATTCAGCCTGAGGGTGGCGCTCTGATGATGATTGACAGACGTTAGTATACATGACAAAAGGAAGGATAGACTTAATGTAGTATTTATTGCGTCCGAATGTAACGTTAGTTTAGAATATTAAAAGTTAGAAATTCCAGTGAGGAAAACAAGTCATGTCTAATCTCAGAAGAAACACAAAACAAACACAACATAACTAGCCTTCTGTAAAAGCTAACGTTATTCAGATGAGCACGTTAAACTAAAGGGTTTATATTTATACTCGAATTAATTTGATACTCCACATAGGGAAGAACTGACCTGATGCAGACAGAGCTGAAGCGGACTGATATCGTCTTGGTCAGAAAGTTGCCCCAATGCTCGAATGCTCTCTGTGGCGCTGCAGTTCCATTTCTCACCACAGATTTACATTGGAAATGTGTGCGGCGCTGTAGCCGGGGAGGGCTCGTATCATGTATGCCTGCCCATGCGCTAATTGTAATATATCCTCCTCACTTTTAAAATAGATAGTCTAGAAAATCTAGATTTAAAATAATAATAATAATAATAATAAAAAATTCAGTGTACTATTTTTGGATGAATATTTTGGTGGGGCTCTGCCCCATTGACTTCCATAGGAGGGGGTGGGAAGAAGGTATGGAAGTCAATGGTGCATTGGTGCCCATCTGGTTACTGGCATTCTATGACAGTCAGTTCGAATAATAATACATAGCCTGCTATTGCCTTACCCTGGCCTTACCTAATGCAGGAAAACACACGTTTTTTTTACACTTCAAATTCTGAATGGATTTGAGTGTGCACTGTGCAGATCTCAAGCACTCACTGGAAAAAAACCCTCGAGGATTTTAGTTAGTGGCGATGTGGGATTCTAACTTGAATCTGATTGGCCATTGCGTTCAAGAAATCATCAGGTATGTTTGTGATTGGCTACATTGCTCAACGCTGCAAAAAAAAAAAAAAAAAAAAAAAAAAAACCCGTTGTAAATAGAACAACTAAAGTAGACGCTCTCAAGAGCACAATCTCCAAATCTGTTAACCAATTCAGTTCATGATAAGTTTATGAGTGTATTTGCGAGGGTGCAGAATTCAGAGTTCAGCTCGTGCACTGAACAAAACTCGAGAACTCTCGCGTTTCATTTAATTTCCATTTTCACTATACAAGATTTAGTTTTGTGCAGGTGCATTTTTGCCCAAATCCCTAGTTAATTTTTGATTAAGGATTAGCCATCCCCATGGCATGGCTAATCCTTCCCCAGCCTTACACACGCTCCGTCTATGAATAGAAACATTTCCTAAATATAGCCTACATAACAAATAATTGAGGTAAGAATAGAAAACAAACCTTTTCTCAGCTGTGAACAATGTCACGCGCATTCGAAAAGAGTCACTCAGGTATGCGATGACGTCATAAAGAAATAGAACGTTGTGTGGCGCCTTATACTGTCAGTTTTCTCAGTCTTCTCATTGCTTATTCTGCAGTTCATATGATAGAGTTACCCAAGTGGACAACTGTTATCATGGCACTGAAGAGAAAGCTTAGTTCTAGCGCTCAGGTGTACGAATCTCATCAGAGCACCGATGCGGATGAAAACCATCAACCCGTTAGTGCTGCTGGTGAGGAAAATGAGATGCCAAAGAGAAAGAGGAGGAGGATGGATAGGTCTGTGAAGCTTCGTTACTGTGATTGGAGCGGCGCCATCTCAGACCAGAATACTGCACCGATAAATGAGAGAAGTCTTGAGGGTAAATCAAATTACAATTGGAGAATATCACTGAAGAGTCATTAATTACCACACCATATTATATCAAAATACAACTGAAGTTTGACAAGACATGTCATGAATATTTAAACAAGGATTGTTTAAAAAACTATAAAAGTTGAAAAAAATTAAATATTTTAACGGACGAATAGCCATAATATGAGTTTCCAATGTTTAATAAGTATTATTATTTGACTGAAACATGCTTTTGTTTGATATTCCCTGCTTTAGATCAAAATTCTCTACAGTACAGTGTCTGTGCTCTAGAGGATCATGGTCTTCAGGAACCTCTATCCAGTGGTCTTGAAGTCCTTCCTCCTGCAGACCAGCAGGTTTGGTTTAAGGTATTGGCCCTAATAAGCTACAAATTAATTTAAATATATATTAGTAGTTGGATAGTTTTGTCACCTTTTTGTGCATTTGTTTTAAATGTTCTTTGTTTATTGTGATATGGGAAGAAATCAAGGTCAAATCTCTTCTATGTGCTCTATATATATCATCAGCCTGTTAATGAGGAAAGTGATAGTCAGGAGAGACAGAGGAAGAAGAGTAGTTTTGGGGAGCTCCTCACTCTTCACTGGAGTTCTGGAGAGCTCCTCACTCTTCACTGGAGCAGTAGCTCAGGTCAGGGTCAGAAAGTGGAGGATCAGACCACTGCAACCATTAGTGAGAGACACGCTGAGGGTAAATCCAATGACCAGTTGAGAATGTGTAAATGCTCTATGTGTATTAGTGCTCTGTACATCGGTAAGTCTACATCATTTTCAGCTAGATATGAGTATCCATTAATGGGAACCCATACAAATTAACACCATCACACCTATATCAAAATCCAAAAGTTTGATTTTGAGTTGTTGTTTTTTATCTTAAATATTTAAACAGAACTTTTATTTTTTAAGAATTAATGTAGTAACTGTTTGAAACATGCTTTTGTTTGATATTCCCTGCTTTTAGATCAAAACGCTCTACAGTACAGTGGTCATGGTCTTCAGGAAGCTCTATCCAGTGGTCTTGAAGATCAGCAGGTTCAAACCCCTCCAGCTCCAGTCCATCCCAGTCCAGTCAGTCCAGCACCAGGTCACAACAACAGAGTAGACGTGACAACTGAGGGTGAGTTTACGGCCATAACCTCAAACATTAAACTCACTGCTGTCCATGCAACTAAAATGAATAATCTTTTTACAGACAACATTTTGAGCCGGTATGAAATCGGCAGAATGCTTGGTAAGGGTGGATTTGGCTCTGTTTATGAAGGGAAACGCTTGGAGGATGGCCTTGAGGTATCGTCATTTTCTTACAACTAAGTGCCCGTGCAAAATCAGTTTTTGTGTGTTTTTAGTAATTATTATTAATTGTGTTTGAGTGTCACCAAAACACACCAAATTGTTCAGCTCAGTGACATTTTTATTTGTGTATGGTAGAAAGCAAATACTGATACTGACATAATGACATACAATAAATGTGGAAAATTGAAGTACACGATTCAGGGAGCAGGGTACACAGTGAACTCCGGAAAAAACGCTACGCGCTACTACAAATGATGGCCGTGAATAAAATATAATATTCAGAAGTAAACAGTAATGTTTAGCTGACAGTGTTTTAAGTCAGAATGTTTCTTTTTAAACCACAACCCTCTAAGTGCTTCTTTTACCGATATATTTACCGATATCTTTTGCATTTCTAATCCAAACAACGTCAAACTTGGCACTGCACTTATTCGTGCCCGTAGCAAGACACCTGTCAAGTTTGAAATCAATCGGACTAAAGGTTCGAGAGATATGCGAATAACAGACACACAGACAGACAGATGTTCCTGTCATTTATTTTCTTACAATATTTAGCCAACAAATTGTTTTGTCTCACTGTATCCATTTCAAGTATTTTAGTGTGTATTTTTTCACTATTTACTGCATTTGACATGTTAGAAATGTAACAAAACTATTTTTTTGGTTGATCAGGTGGCAGTGAAAATTGCCAGAAAGCCGCAGAACATGAAATACATCTACATTGTAAGTAGGCTACACTCGCTATGCTGTTTTTTCACTGTTTTCAAATTAAAACATGTCAACATAATGACAACACCTTCATATAACAATGATCTTTCTTCCAGCCTGGTCATCCCGCACCCTTGCCATTAGAGGTCGGCCTATTAATCCTTGCTAATAGGGGCCCTAAAGTTTCAGAGATCATTGAGCTGCTGGACTGGCAGGACCAGCCTGACCAATATATTATGGTCTTAGAGCGTCCCTCACCTTGTAAAGATCTGTGGCGTTTTTGGACTTGTCACAGAGGCATCCTAAATGAGGACACAGCACGATTTATTTTGGCGCAGACAACAATGGCTGCTCATATGTGCTGTCGCCGTGGAGTGTTTCACCGTGATATTAAGCTGGAGAACCTGCTAATCAACACAGATACGCTTGAGGTCAAACTAATTGACTTCGGGTGTGGGGATCTCCTGCAGGAATCTGGCTATGAAAGATTCCGTGGTATGAATTATGAATCAAACCTGTAGTTTGGGACTTAAGTTCTAGTGACTAGTTAAATTAGTAACATATAAACCATATATCACTTTTGAGGCAGCATTTTTTTAAATTAAAAACACCAGATGTTTTTACAGAGAAAACACGCTATGGTATTTCATGCTATGGTACTTACCCATCAGACAAATCTTTTTCCTGCAGGCACTCTAAACTACCGCCCACCTGAGTACTGCACAGAGGGCAAGTACCACGGTAAACCAGCTACTGTGTGGTCTCTGGGAGTGCTCTTATTCCTGTTGGTGTGTGGACGCTTTCCAGAACCTAGAGACAGGCAGATGATTGATGATGACATCTGGTCTGAGCCTGGCTTGTCAAACGGTAAGATGGCATTCATCACAACAAAGAAGACCAACTGTAATTTAAATCATACAAAACAAAGAAACAAGGAAAAAGTAACACCTGAGCCAAGTGGCTTTAAAAAAGATAGATAATGTGGATAATACAAGAATTTTTCCTGATTTTCTGACCATACAGTATTGAATAGTCGAATCTTACAGCTTAATACAAAGACAGCAGGTGTATAAGGTAATAATCTGACTCGCTTCTTTCGTTCTGCACAGAATGCTGCCTCCTGATTCGATCCCTCCTGAAGGATAGCCCACGGGAACGGATTTGTTTGAGGAAAATCCTTCAACATGAATGGTTTAAGGTAATGAGCTTAAGATCAGCTACAAATGATTTTGAAGATATATTCACTTTTCATTTTAGAGATTTTAAAAATGTTTTCTTCTAATTGTAATCTATGACTATAACCTTGTTTTTTTTTTGTTTTGTTTGTTTGTTTCAGGTCACAGAATAAGACATTAAGAGGAATGTCAGAATTCCTCTCTTGGCCACCCCAGAAGTTTCTGTGAAAGCTGCTTCTGCCACGGCGCTCTCCAAAGGATCCTGCACTGGATGTCACAGAATTTTCAGTCTTTGGCTGCTTCCTCCTATTCTTGTATAATGGCTTATTGTTCATCAACTATTATTGTTCAATAAATAATATTTTATATAAATAATATTGGTGTACCTGATCTTGAGAAATGGTCTGTGTGTTATTGGTGGGGATTTTTCAGCAGTTTCATTGCAGGTTACATTGACTTGACTTATGAAGCATGGTTGAGCCTCCATTTACCATAATTAATGTGTGTGACTGTTTATATGTGAATAAAAGCCTAAATTCAGTCTGTTTGTCATATAAAGAGAATTTCAGAAAATTTGGACTAAACCGCTCAATTCATATGGATTAGGTTTCAATCTCTTCACAAACTTTTTGAAGCATCAAAGTGGTAGTTCTGTAGACCATCAATGGAGGGACAGAAAACTCTCAGATTTCATTAAGACTATCTTCATTTGTGTTCCAAAGATGAACGAAAGTCTTACGGGTTTGGAACGACATGAGGGTTATTAGTAAATGACAGGATTTAAATTTTTGGGTGAACTAACCCTTTTACTTTAGTTCTCAAGTCAATTTAAACTGCAAGTTGCTTTAAATGTCATACATAAACTGACCATATCTACTGAAATAATTGTCCTATAAAAATAAGTGTGAGATTTAGCCAGTCAGTATAGGATTATGATTTTTTGCAAAAAAAAATGGTAAAGAATTTAAATATGCCCTGGTTGATATACTCAATTTAGAACCATTTAAAGAGCAAGCTATTTTAATCCATACAATCTAATCTACATACAAGTTAACCATGTATAAAATGTTCTAATCTAAACTATTTAAACTTCTCAAAATCTTAAAAGAAAACAAAAATAGGTTTTACAATCACAGAATTTATTGAACAAATGAAATGAACATTTGGAGTGCCTTCAGGTCAATCAATAACAATAGCCTTCAGACATATTCATGAAACGGTGGTTAAGCTTTTACCATATAAAGACCTTTTGAAGACATTTCCTTTAAACAATTTTAAAGCTATATGGCTTATGACTTCTCTATTTAGAAAAAAAAGTAGTTAAAAACATACCTGTATATACACAAACATACATATTTACATGTCTTGTTTTTTTTTTTTTATCTGAAGATCTGTGAAGTTTTCCATAGTTTTCATTAAAATAGCAGTACAGGGCGAGTATGTTGTGCTGACAAAATTATCACCACATAAGAAGTACACCTGAAGATGTTATCAACAACAAGGACTTGTGAGTAAAAAGCATAAAATATTCAGCAAGGAAAGTACAAAAGGGACTTTCAAACGCAACGTTCAAACCCATGCAAATTTAGAAAGAAACAAAAAATGTGTCAGTCTACAGTCAAGATGAATAACATTCATGATGGGTTTTCAGATTCTGTAGACTTTGCCCTTGAGTTGTCAGACCTTTCTTTTCTTTCCTCTTTCTTTTCTCTGCTCCTGCTTCTGTCCCGTCTGTCTCTGTCTTTCTCCTTGCCTCTGTCTTTGTCCCGTTCTCTGTCCCGATCTCTTCTCTCACGGTCTTTTCCACGTTCTCGATCCCGACTCCTTGAGCGTTCTCTTCTCCTGTCTCTATCTCTGTCACGGTCTCTATCTCTGTCTCTGTTCTTTGCTCGGTCTCGGTCATGGTCTTTTCGGTCTTGATCTCTCTCCCTGTCTCGATCATGGTCTTTTCGGTCTTGATCTCTCTCCCTGTCTCGATCATGGTCTTTTCGGTCTTGATCTCTCTCCCTGTCTCGGTCATGGTCTTTTCGGTCTTGATCTCTCTCCCTGTCTCGGTCATGGTCTTTTCGGTCTTGATCTCTCTCCCTGTCTCGGTCATGGTCTTTTCGGTCTTGATCTCTCTCCCTGTCTCGGTCATGGTCTTTTCGGTCTTGATCTCTGTCCCTGTCTCGGTCATGGTCTTTTCGATCTTGATCTCTCTCCCTATCTCGGTCATGGTCTTTTCGGTCTTGATCTCTCTCCCTGCCACGGTCTCGATCCCGGTCTCTCCTCTTGTCTCCATCTCCGTATCGGTCAGACTCTCTGCGATCCCTCTCCCTACTGTGTTCTCCTTCCCTTTCCCTGCTGCGACCCCGCTCCCTTTCTCTTTCCCTGCTCCGGTCTCTTTCACGATCCCTTTCTCTGCCCCGTTCATGCTCATGTTCCCTGTTCCAGCCCCATGATCTTCCACCATGTCCACCTTCTCTGTCTCTGTCTCTCCTCCTATCCTCAGACAAGTCACGTTGCCTCTCTTCAGACATTCTTGAGGGGGCATCTCTGTCACGCGAACCACCATCAAATCTACTTGGACGGTTATGTGGCTCTGCAATGTCTCTGCTGGAACTGCTTCGCCTCCTCATTTCAGGTGAGTGACGTCTCCAGTGGTCATCGCGGTGGGTGTCTGGGCTGTGTCCACCTATACGACCCTGTATTGGGATGGGACCTTCAGGTGGTGTTGGAAGCAGAGGTCCACGAACAGGTCTAACATCTCTAACATCACTTGGGCTATCATCATTGTAGTTAAATCGTGCTGGCGGGCCAACAGCTTCCTTATCATAATGTCCTACTGGTGGACCTCTCGGGCCACCAAACTGTTGAACTGATGGTCCCCGGTGCCTTTCAAAGTCTTGAGATGAAGTTCCCCGTGGTTCCTCAAATGATCCCCTGTGTTGAGGTGAACCACGGAATTGGTTTTGAGGTGGAAATCGCTGTCCTGACATTTCACCTGTAGGAGCACCTCTTCGTCCATCAAAGTGGTTTGGTGGTGGTCCCCTAAAAGGAGGCCCGTGTGAGGGTATCTGGGGCTTCTCTATTCCCTGATGATAAGAGTTCCCACCATCTTCAAAATGATCACCAGGTCCTCTTGACATGTTAGATGGAGGGCCATGATCCCCAATATTATGAAGCGGAGGTGGGCCTCTTGGCCCTGGGAAGTGGGATGGTGTTGGAGCTCTATTAACAAAAGGATTTGGAGGGGGACTGGGGAATGGTGGAGGTGGGCCCCTAGGTGCAGAGAAGCTAAAGGGGGGTGGAGGCCCATTAAACCTTTGTCCATCAAAGCTGGGAGGGGGTGGCCCGGGTAGTGGAGGCCCTGGATGTGGGCCTCTTGGTCCAATATGCTGAGGAGGCATTGAATTCATAGAATTATCAAAGATCTGAGGAGGAGGACCTCTCTGACCAATTGGTTGGAATGGAGGTGGTCCTCGTGGGGTAAAATTTGGAGGTGGTGGACCTCTTGGAGCAGCATCAAACTGAGAACTGCTACCCCACTGATTCTGGAAAGGTGGATATGATGCAGGTAGTGGATATTGAGAATGATCATTATCCCCACGGGGAGGAGGTGGACCTTGCATTGAGGGAATCTGCATTGGCGGAGGGAGATGCATGGGTGGTGGAACAGTCATTGGTGGTGGGCCTTGCATTGGAGGTGGACCAAGAATAGGTGGAGGCCCAATTGGAGGAGGAAAAGACATTGGAGGTGGAATGTTAGCAGGGTTTGTTGTTGGTATATGCTGTATATGGGAACTGTGAGAATCCATATAAGATGAGTTGTCTTGGATGACATCATGTGGCACTCCTGAGTGTACAGATGTAGATAAAGTACTGATTGTTGAAATGTTATAATATGTGGTTGCAGTGGTCTCAATAGGCTGCCCAATGGATGAAACTGGGTCAGCTTTTAAAATAGACTGTCCAATGGATGAATCAGGTTTCAAAATACTGGCAGAATTAGGCCAAACCTCCTCAAAACTTTTAATCTCAGATTCAATAGGATCATCCTTCGTTTTGTGTTCCTCTTCAGGTTCGTTTTCCATGTAGCTTTCCACTAACTCTGGGTCAATCTTTTCTCCTAGTAACGGAATAGAAACTTCTGTGCTCTCTATATCAAGAAAAGGCACCACTTCACTCTTGCTTGCTTCCTCCACCTCACCTTCTTCCTCAGACTTAGATGCTTCTGGGTGCAGGATGGCAGGTTGCACTGAATCCAAGGTGGCAGTAACTTGCAAAAGGGGAATATCTGCGGTTGCATCCTCTACTGATGTATCTTCAGTAGAGTCCAGCTGTGCAGTTTGTGTATCTGCGGCTGAGCAAGTTTGTGTTAGTGATGTCTCTATCACTGTAGCTTCTTGTGGAAATGTTTTATTTGTAGTAACAGGAAATTCCTCCTCTGTCTCTGTGGAATCAGAAGTCTGTCTTCTATTTGCAGCTGCCTGTCTAGGGTCTCTACTCTGCCTTGGGTCTCTTCTCTGGTTAATAACTGGAGCAGCTGAACTCTTTGCCACCAACTCTTCAACCTTTTTACCGAGCTGCAGCAATTGACTGTTAGCTAACAGAGATGTAACAGGCTGAGAAATCAAAGTCTCTGGTTTTTGCTGATGAGCTGCATCCTCGTGCTTCTGTTCCTCAATTTGTTTGTCTTCAAGCACTTTTTGATGCTCAGTTAATTTTTTAGCACCTGGATCAACCCCAGCATCATTAAAAAGAGAGTCATCCTCAGGGTCATAAGCGACATCATCTATCATAGAGGTGACCTCTGTTTGCTTAATGACAGCAGATACTTTTGTTGTATTATGGGTATTTTCAGTACCATAGCCAACACCTGGGTCATATTCTTCTTCAGGATCATATGGTCTATCGTCCTGTACTTCTACTTCTCTACCCTTGGTTACAGAAAACTGCTGTACAATTGGATCCAGCATGGGCACAGAGACATCTACAGCACTTTGATCTGAAGGTGATAACGAGACATCAGAATCTTGCTTCTTCTTACCAAAAAGTGTTTTCAGGATAGTCTGAAGTGGAGTGGCTGTAGATGGTGCTGAGACACTGGAGGATGGAGAATTACTGCCTGTGCTAGTGCTGACACCAGGTGCTTTCACAGAGGAGAGCATGGAAAACACAGAAGATATAGAACTTAAAGACTCAGGGGCACTGAAGGGTGGAGGGGTGCCTGGGGGAGTTGTGCTTATGGCATCCAGACTAGATCGAAGAACTTTGTCCTGTTTTATTTCAGATTTAGCAATAATGGATGGTTTTGGAAGGCCTGTCTCATCATCTCTTAGAGTTTTAGAACGTTTCTCCTCATTCTCTAGAGGGGCCCCAGGACGCTTCTTGTCCTTCTGGCAAATCAACAACCCCAGAAGGAGATTGGGACGAGCTGGTTCCAGACCTGCAAAAAATTATGAAACATTATTTCAAAAATAAGCTTTCTATAGATTAAGGGATATTTAGGATATAACACCTATATAAATGTTAAGAGGTAAGAAATACACATTAAGAGAGCTTGTTCCACATAATACAAACTGGTAACATGAACTGTTAAAACTTACCTATACCAAACTTATTCTTATGTTAGTTTTTTATTGTACCATCCAAATTATCCTTGTGATACATTAAATTAGTAATTACCACACAAGCTTTGTTAATTTAGCATAAATATTCCCTTACACATCATAAAAGCTCTTAATTATATAAAATCTATAGATAGAACAGCCTTTCATTATTAACAACACTGCTAAAGTTTCTTCCTCTGGCAAACTTGTGCCAATAATGACAATTCTAATCGACTAAATTTTATGCAATTTGTCTCAGGATCATAATCACTCCTTGGGCTGGTCAGACGATTTACTTGGTTTCGCTATAAGACAGGATGATGTCCAGAATATAACTTAACATGGTTGCCATGATATTACAGCTAGTCCAACAGAGCAGACAGCATAAATGGCAGCACTTTCATTTTGAAGTGTAATTTTCAGTGATGTGGCTATGTTATATGCCTTTAGTTATATATTACAAATATGGGTAGTCACTTTGAGCAACTCCATTATTAAACACTTGTTCTTAAAATGAAATATGAACCTGAAAAAATAAGGCTAAGACACAGATATCTAGGACATTGAACTTGGATTCATGATATATTTTATTAGAAAGTCATAAAATACATGACAACTTGCAGACAGAATTAAGAACACACCAAAATAAGCACACAAACTTTGTCTGGAAGAAACTCATTGTATGAGTTACATTTTGTAGCACGTTTGATATGGCCAAGAATCGTTTTCCATTTTGTAAATTGTGGAACAAGCTTTCCATTTACAGAATAAAGAGTTAAAATACAGACAGACTTTAATCATGCTTACCTTATGTTAACAAAAACAGTTTTTTATTAAAAGTCTGGGGAAGACACTAAAATGATTCTTTAAAAAAAGAGATTTTATAGTATCCTTGTACATGCTTACCTGGTCCATCAAATGGCAGAAGCTTTGCAGGAAGTGGGTCTTTTGAGCTCAGAGGGATGAGGTAAAGGTCTTTAATGCGTTTGTTGCTGTTTGCCACTACTCCAAACCGCTTACGGCTACTGAAATAAGAAAACAGAGAAACATACGCCACCTCCTCCTCTTCAGTCGCTGGATGGAAACGAATGAGACTCAGTTCCTGAAAAAAGAAAACTCAGCATCAAAAAACAAAACTCACTACGATGCACATGAATAAAGTGAAGTACCATTTCAATTGGGTTGACTATCTAAGTTCTGAATTTGATTCTAGTGCAACTGAAATTAGTTTTTTCTTTTCATACTTTTGACAGCGAAGTCTTCAACTTTCCCACATAATCCCAAACAGTGTGTGGTGATATTCTACCGCCAATATGAATGGTGTCAGGCAAGTCCTGCAAATAAAATAAAAACAGTTGTTAAAATGATTTGATAACACAACTTGAACCCAACCTACTATGAAGAATCTTTAAAAAACAAACCTCCTTAATATGCTCAAATGATCCTGACACCATATAGGCTTTTGTGACAAACTTGGCAACAGCGTGCATGTTTATGAATCCTTTCCACATCATCTCTTGTCCAGACAAGAACAAAGCGGTTTCACCCTCAGGAGTGGGCTCTGACACACTGTGGAAATACAACAGATTTACAAATATTACTACTTACTAAAATGATAATGTAGAAAGAAAAGCATTTTACACTAAATGTCATATATGCTGCACCTGGTAGTACTTGAGCCATAATTGCGCAGATCTTGTGAAGAGGCTGGTTTTGGCATCACAGGTCTGGCTAGAGATGCTGGGGCAGGAGGGGGCATAGGCAAAGGACCTTTTGCTTCTACAACCGCAGGTTCAACAGAGATAGGAATATTTGCTGGCATAGCAGGAATATCAGGGACTATGTGAGGCACAGATGACCGGTGACCAGCAGTACGAGGATCCCTTCGAGTTATTGTAACGGAAGAGACTGCTGGTACAGCAGCAGTGACTGGGGGCTGAACCACAGGAAATACACCGCTTGAATCCTCCATCACAGATGTAGAATCAGGCAAAGGCATTTCAACACCAGAGAGAGAGGAAACGTGAGGGAGATCAGCGGGGGATTTGGATGGTCGTGGCTCTGGTTTAGACTTAAAAGACGGCTCTGGCTTTTTAGGTGCAGACATTTTGTTTTTTTTAGATGGTGGTTCATCATCTGCAGACTTTTGGCCTGAAAAATTAGCAACATGTAATTTAATTATTAGCTGTTAGACAGATCATAGGTGTATATAATACAGTAATAGGCACTTTCCAAGAAGTCTTAAGGGTATGTGACTTTTTATATTTGGTGATATAGTCCCACCTGTACAGATCTTGCAGTTCAGGTCAAAGAGATGACCCCTATGCTCTGCTGTAGTGTCTTTTAGCATAATACTGAAGATATCTGGCATTGAGCTGCCTTTACCAGCAGAGACTGGTGCTTGCTGTGCAGAAGTAGGCCGTGTGTCCTCTTGGGAGTCCTGCACAAAACAAGGACAAACATAGAATGAGAGGGTCAATGAACAATATTATACTTTAGGATACTATTCTCATCCATGTGAAAGAAAAGACAAAATAAGATCAAGTTGGCAGGTATGAGAACAGATTATGCATTCAGGGAGTCGCTTTAGGAAAATGAAATGAGAGCGGGATACAGAGAGGTGTGTGGAAGAAGACAACAGGAAAGCAAGAAAGCCAGCACTTACAGCAGCAGAAGCCAAGTAGGGAGATTGGGAAGTGGCAGGCATACATACATCTCCATCAGACATAGGAGGAGGAGCTTCCTCCATGTCTACATCTGGGGGAGCACCCTCCTGTCTAGATCCACTTTTGGGCTGGGATCTCCCACTTAACTCCAGACTCTTTTGGAATAAGTACATAAGTTTAAGCAAAGAGCATGAAAACAGCATAATTTTATCGGAGTTCATCCAAACAAATTCTATCTAGTTTTACCTCAGAGATTTCAGATTTTCTCCAGTCTGACATCTCCTTGGAAAGAAGTTCTTCTGGACTCAGTCTCACCAGCCTAAAAGGACTGATCTCGCCATCAATCACACGATAGAACAGGCCCTGCCACACAGCCAAGTAAAAAAAAACACAGCCATTGATACATTTCACAAAGCTACTAAAAATGCATATGTATATTACAATTGATCATAATTGTCTCTATTAAACATACAAAAAAAAGTAACTCACCTTGTTTTTGGGGTCCTTCAGGTTGAACATAAGGGACCTGTACTTGTTCTTGTACTTGTTATCAGTGTTCAAATAAAGGTTAAACATCTCCTTCTCAATGCTGACGGCCAACTTTCCCACTTCACTCTCAGACATGGAGAGATCATCACTGTCACTGACTCTGTGGCACAATAATGAATTTAAATATGCAAATTCTTGGAATGATATTAAAAATCCTTTTATATAAAATATTTAATCACTATTCAGGAGAACATTTAAAAGGCAAAAATTTTAACCTCTTAAAAAATGTAAAGGTACAGCATGTAACTTCTTGTTGAAAATGTACACAATTTATATAATAAGCGATTACATCATAAATACATCTCCAAACTGTTTTTGTCTTATCCTGAATCACTATGGTACGCCTAAAATAAGTGTTTATATTCATACCATTTTAGACAGAACAGGACGACAACCACACCAGAGTAACCCAGTACCGGCGTGACACGAGACCATGCATTTTGTTAATTAACCACTAGGGCACTTAAAGTTACAAAGTGTACCTTTAATATTATTTAATTAGAACCTTCTTTAATTAGAAGTTCATCTAAATGATTTTCCATTTTAATGTGTATTTATGTTTACCATCAGGTTAGATATTAACAGATGCTACAATAGTTCATGAGATAAAAATGATCAGCACAAAGTAAACGTTCTACCTCATCATCTGAATCTGAATCTGAATCATCGCTCACCTTTTATACAGGATATCAGTCAGTGATCGTCTGATGTTGGATCTCATCTGGTTGTTGGGCGGTGGCTGTGGAGGGCCAGAAGTGGCAGCAGGCTGGGTTGGTTTAGGCAATGGGTGTTGGGTGGATGATACTGGGGAAGGTGGGGTTCTAGTGGTAGGAGAGGGACTAGGCTCTGCAGACTCCTTTGGCCCTGCCTGTGGCTGTTTTTTGGGGATAGTAAAGGTGCTTTTGCCAACACGAAGAGCCCCAGAGGCATGGTGGCGAGATCCAGGGGGGCCTGAAGGAGATAAAACCGGAATTGGTGGTGGGGGAGGTCCCGGCTTCTTCAATTTGCCCTGCGGTATGGGCTGTTTTCTTAACTCTCTGCCACTGCTCAAAGGAGCTGCATTTGTTTTGCCTTTGGGAAGAGGAGAGGTGGCAGCAGCAGCCTTTGTCCCCTTGGAGCCAGGAGACTTCTTCCCACCTTTGGGAGCAATATTTGTAGCAGGGGGTTTCTTGTCAGCGGATGCAGTCTCCTTCTCTGGTTTGACCTCTTCATTGCCTTCCTTTTCTTTGTCTTTTTGGGGAGCTGCTGGACAACAAAAGGAATAAAAGGATTCATGAATGCAGAAATAGCAAAATTACTCAAAATAGCTCTTCATTTGGTAAAAGAAAAATTGTAGTGTGTTATGCGCAATTGTAGTGCCTTGCCTTGAAACTCTAATAATTTTCTCAAGTTACTGAATATGAAGACCACCATTACCAGTTCAAGAATTGGATTAAAGACACAAACAAGAAAATGTTGAACATGTAAACTTTATTTTAGAAAATATTTTACAATAATCTTTAAGAAAGTTTACCTGAAAGAGACTACCTGACTCAGACCAGTCAGATGTATTTGTATATATTTAATTACATCCTTTAAACAATTTTTTAATCATAATCAGCAAGTGACTGTGTAGCATAAAATATGTACCAACAAACTGGAGCACATAGCAGCTATTATTTGGTATGTAAATTTACATGTATATTTTTTAATATTTGGCAAATTTGAAGAAAAATATGAAGGGTTCATACCACAGGAGCCAAATTAAGATTCACTGCTGCCTTGTTTTTAATAATTTTCGATTATATATCCTATATATCACTAACCCAAATAAATATTTGGGGGATCAATGATATGAATTAAAATGTTGAAATTAGTGAATAAAGCATAAAAATGGAAATCCTGATGTAATAATTCAAGGAAACATTACATAAGGACTTTATGGCCTGGTTTCACAGACAGGGTTTACATTAAGCCAGGATTAGGCCTTAGGACATTTAAGTAGCTTTTGTAAACTTGCCTTAAAAAAAAAAAATTAAAAAAAAAAAAAACATTACTGGTGTGCATCTTGAGAAAACAATAGCACTAACATTTTAAGATATGCTTTCAGTACAAACATGCATTTTAGTCTGAGACTAGGCTTAAGCCTCGTCTGTGAAACCAGGGGTATAAAGGATTAATATTTTACCAGCTACATAACAAAAAAGCATGCCAATTTGATTAGAGATCTGACCATATAACCAGTGTACAATAAACCAGTGGACCTAAGCTCACTTGTATTGCAGTAATGCATCCTTAAATAGCACTTTTAAGTGAAGGTACACAATGTACTACAGAACATCAGAGTAATCCCATTCATGTGTTATTCTTATCAAATTTCTCCATATCTTGGTCAACACAAAAAGCAGAAGAGACAAAAAATCCAAGGCAACCTTATATAAACTAATGTCACATACATAAGACTAAACCCCATTTTAAAAAAGCTGCAGGGACAAAGGCACAAAAATGATTGTCATTAATTTTCTAAATCATAATTTCAGGTATCAAACATACCCCACATTAAGTTTAAGGTGTCCTCCTTTGTTTTTGCATATGGAAAAGTGAAAACTTGCCCTTTCCAGTACTCAATCATTCCTACTAGTGCAGAAAACCAAATTCAATCTCTGCATCAAATCAACTGCATTCAGCTTTCAACAAGTACACTAACCTCTCAATATGTAATTTGTTCATATTTAAATATGCAATAAGACAAGAGTATCAGCATTGTTCTACATTCCGTGTATATGTATAAACAAAGCTTGACATATCCCTGTGTGCTGCAATAATGAGGCATGTGAATTCTGTCGTTGTCTGCTGTGGGGTGATAATGATGTCCTCAGCTGTTCTTCATTACGGTTCCCCAATACATCAGCTTACTCTCTGGGCTCTTGGACTTTTCTGAAACGCCACAGTTCTTCTCTCAGGACGGCTCCAAGGACTGTAGGCTTCTTATTGCAAAACACACTGTGACATTTAGCGGGAGGCTGACAAAGGCCAAAACCAGGCAGAGGCCATGACATCCCATGTTGTCATCCAATAAACAGACTTCTCTCACAATTGAAGCACAGGGGCAGCAGAGTATTATCCGAAATTTCACTTTATTTTGAATGCCACTTTGTCCACTCAAGATTTATAAATGCAGTGCATGCAAGTCAAAGGAATATCAAACTAAAAGCTGTTAGTTAAAAAGTTACATGTTTTCATTATTGTGTAACAGGACTGTAGTCAAATGTCCATGTGATCAGAGATGTTCTATTCTTAGTCGGGGAGGAGGGCAGGAGAAAAAGACACCAAAACCTACCTGATCAGGTGTGTGGTCAGTACAGCGTTTCGGATGAAGTTATTGCCCCGATGACGGCAGAGATTGGAGATAAATGGCAATGGTATTCCACACATTGAGAAACTCAAATTCACATGCACATACATTGTAGATGTTTATCAGAAAGCTTTACAAAAGCATATCAGGGCAAGGCACTACAGTTTGGGCTCAGATCCCTAGGATCTACATTTTTCGATCACTTTTTTTTAGTGCCGGAGAAAGTTAGATAAAATAGATTAAGTACTTATAAATAGACTGTAAAATACAGTCTTTATGCGTTTAGATCATAAATACTTACCATATATATCTTATTTTAAACTTACCTGTTCTGGATCTCTGAATGACCTGATACAGGTATTTTTCAAATATTAGCATCTTGTAGTGTTACTTAAACACTGCCAAAATATTTTAGATGTAGCACGGAGTGTCCAGCTTAAAACCATAATTGTAGCTGTGCTAAAATGCTGGCGCTAATATCCTTTAAAGGCACATAATTTCAATTTCAGTCCAATTTACACCAGAAAAGAGCTGCTATTTTTAAATCCCCTTAGGCTGCAACAATTTCAATCAGTTGTTCTTGACAGTTCAACACCCCCATCATTGGTAGAGACATGTCAATAAAATGTGGAAAACCCTCAGAGAGATACATACACGCTTTGTTTAACACAGATGCTGATATGGGTGTAGTCTTTTCTGGCGTTACTGCAATGTAATTATGGTCACTGGACCAGGATGACATGGCCGGAGGCGGCGGATGCTCCTCTGCATGCTTGTCTTCATCATCATCCTCTTCCTCAGTCCCAGATTCTGACTCCTCCTCCTCACCTTGGTTAGAGGACCTCCTTTCTGGTCCAGAACTCCTCTATAGACAAGAACAGAAAGCATTGTTAGCTTAAAAAAAAAAAAAAAAAAAATTATAGATTTTTTTTAAGACATTGAGGAAAAACAGCTATTTCACACTACTAAAAATGCAACAATACTTTTTACATTTAGAGCAAAATCTATTGAAAATAGAGAATTAAAGATTTAAATAACCTATAGCTTTATAGTAAAAGGGCAAATACAATACCTGTTTTCCTGTTTTATCGTGCACCTGAATTAGCAACTACTGGATTAAAAACTTTTTAGTTTACACCTAAACACTAATGTAAGTGTATCCTCATATAACAGTCATCCAGCCATAACCCATGTGTAAAATAATTTCCTACCATTAAAGCCTTAATAAAATGAATATTGCTGGATTATTATTAGGTGGCTATTAATAATACCTTCTGTGGTGATTTATTTGTGGTCTTTTTCTGCGTTTTGGGTTTGCCCCTCTCCTTCTGTTTGGAGTCTTTTCCATCCGTGGTGATGATCTTCATGGCGGCAGCAGCATGTCTGAGTATGCAGTCGTTCCCACAGTAGACAGAGTCAGGGAGGGCATCTCTCTCACAGCCAGGGCCGATGCATTTTGGGAGGGAAGATTCCTGAACTGCAGTCACCTGCTAAAAACTCATGGATGTCAAACCTCTGTGGCCACTACATTACGGCAGTAGATCTACACCATTTGTAGCGTCTTTTTTTTTTTTTTTAAAGCAAGCTAAACAAGTATTATTTTTCCGCTGTCAGTTTTAAAAAATGGAACTTAATGTGGTCAAATGACAACAATACATTGCTATCTAGTTAAAAATGCTTATTTATAATTTTAAACTCAATTTTGTGTAAAAATGTCTTAATATTCTGTGTCCTGATCAAATGAGTCAAAGATGATTTTGGCTAATATTAACTCCAAGGTCATCCATGGCATTATAAATAAAAGGTCATTGCATTGCAGAATACAGTATCCAAAAGCAACAAGCTCAGTTGTATACTGCACATTTTGGCGACTCAAGTAGCTCATTTGGGTATTGAACAGATATTATATACCGCAGCAATAGTAATAGTAGCATGCTAACCCAAACAAAGTCACAAGACTTGTGAATATTTTGAATAGCGATTTTTTTTTCAGCATAAAAAATATAACAAATCAAACAAAAACAATAGAATTTTGCTATTCTTGTTAATAGATATAGGAAATACATAAGATAGCAAAAAAGATGAGCAAATATTATGACATAAGATAATTTAGAATTAATTATTAGACTATAATAGTATTTAGTCTTAGCATATTGTTGATTTCAAAAATGTATTTTAAGTGTGGCTCATTTACAGACACCTTTTAGTTTTATTGTTAATGAGACAATCTCTTTATTATTACATTCATAAAAAAAGAAAACTTACCATATCTTAATATCATAATTAGAATCCTTTAGGAGGTAAAATTCAAGTGATTTGGTTGTTACAAACCCCCTTTATATTAGCAGGAAAGGTATTCAGTTGAGAAAACAACATGAAACCCAATAAAAACATTTTTCATGCTTTGCAATGGCGCTAAAAAGTGTGGTTCTCAAATGTTGTCTCTGCCATCTGATTTCCTTTTGATGTTTTCCCAACATTAGCTTAAAACAAATGTGGCCAAACCTGGTTATCATGCTTATATTATACAATGAAACATTGAAAATCACACAGATATGACAGCTTTAAAATCTGCTAAATGCCAAATATTGGCATAAAAAAGCAAGTGTATGAATAATCTGAATCAGATATTGATGTTGCAATTTTACATTAAATTAAAGTTAAACTTAAGCATTTTAAAAATGCCACTGATAATAAAATCCTGTGAGAAAAACTGTCGAAATTCAAGCATGGAAACACCAAGCATTGATAACTGTATCCAGAACCTGTATTCTTCAACACCATGAAATCAAATGTAAAAAAAGAAAAAAAAGTGCAGTATTTTTAAACCTACGTGTTTCATACGTAGACATACCGGCTGGAAAATCTTTATTTTCTTTTTCCCACTAGGATTGGTAGCCTTCTCGATCCTGCCCTTGATACCCAGGTCATCAGAAGTTTTGTCCTCTGTGGTGGCTGCAGAAGTGCTAGATGCTGTAGTGAGACCGGTCTCAGTTTTACGAAGGCCAGCTACTGGCCGTTTGCCATTCTCTGCAGCTGCTGTGGAGGAGCCGGCCTTGGAAATCTGCCCCTTCTGTGTGTAGCAGTTTGGACAGACATAGTCCTCTCCATTTCTCTCCATCAGTCGGCCACGTGCCTCAGAGATGCCAACGCAGTCGCCATGAAACCACTCCTCGCAGCGATCGCAGCAGATCATAAACCTATAAGGATTTAAACAATGACCAAACACCCTCAATAATCATTAAATCCACAAGAGACAGAACCTCTGCTGACAAAAACAGAAAGCAAGCAAAGGACAATCTCTGCTACTTGCTAACAAACACATGCCACTTTTTTGCATCTTGCCTGAGAAGGACAGTGTGTAACATTATTCAAGTGTTAAATTAACTACTAACAAAGAAATTGGATGGACCAATACAGAATTGTGGCACCTATATCAATAATTCTTGTCAGGATACTCATAATTTTGACCCTTTCAACTTGGGCTTAAAACACTTTCTGCAATCTGACAAACTCCTTACTGCTGATCATTTATGAAACAATTATAGAAATCAGTAAAAAACGCAACTTAAAAAGTATAGGTCATGTATCATTGGAAATTAGGGGTGTGCACGAAATAAACTATTTGAATTGCGCTACATGTTGCTTTTCCTTGCTAAAACTCAGTTATAACTAAATACACTGGGTGGCGCTGTAGAGCTGGTTAAGTTGATTGTATTTGATCACAGAAAGTCGTCGTCTTTGATCAAAATAATTTTACTAAATGACCTTACAAAATGGAATTACTTTTGATCAAATGGATCAACACGTCGTGTGGAAACATTGTCGGGTGAAACAGATTTATCATACACATCACCATCCTGAAATCAAATGAAATCCAAGCATCAGTCGAATGAGTAAAGACATTCACAACTGCAGGTAAGCACAGTTGTACCTAACGAGTGAGCCGTGAAGATAACTTATCTGATAGCAAAATTACCGAGACATATGCTTCCTTTAAGTTTCGTCGAGGGAGACAGGTTTAAGAACAGAAAACACAAAGTGCTGTAAGAAACTTTGCTTAGCACACCGTTATCTGTGTCCCTGCAGAGTCTTTCGGCGGAGCGCATTTTCTCTGCATCCAGCCTTATTGTTATCAGACTGAGGAGCCAACTTTCACCTAAGCATGAGGATATTCGTTTTCCTCAACATAATAATATAAAAACAATAACCATATGCTGACTCAAGTGTAAATGTACGTTCTGCACGATAACTGGCGCAGTCTGCTTCTGCTTAAATGCTTTCGATCTGTATATTTTTTGCTTACACACATTGTTAAATGTTTTCTACTAAAAGAATACCTCAAGATGTAATGAAAGCTTGTTGTGTATATTTGCTAATCATGAGCATGTTTAGAAAAAAATTCCATCCCTATTGGAAATGTCTGTACTGGAATGCAACACACGTACAGTGTGAGCCCCACATAGATCAAACTATATCTGCTGTGCGAAAACTCTCAGATGCACAAGTCAATCAAATACAGATGTCATTTGTGTCAAACTCATACTTATTATGGGCAATGCCAATACAGTTTAGTTTTAAGATGTACATGACACCAATAACTTGCACAAGACCTAATAGTTTTAGCAAGCAAAACACTTACTATCACTCATTATATTGATTCCTCCTTGGCCTAAAAAAAGACTGTTTAGGCTTTCTGTGAAACTCATGATTTAGTTTAAAATACTCCAGGCGATACATGTGCACAAACTTGCAGGGTATAAAAACACGAGTTTTGTTCCTTTGTGCTCTCAATCTTCTGCTGATGACGAGAGCTCCTTTTATGTTTAGTACGTACTTCACTGTGTAAACTTCTGTAAAATCTCTTTAATTATATAATATTTTATGCAAGTGATAAATACATTAACACTAAAGTGTATAATAAACAAACTACATATACTGTATATAATTAATATGTATACCAATATTATTAAATTTATTATTTAATTAATTTGCTTAGTTATTTTATAATACGTATATGTATAATAACTTGGATATGTATAAAATATGTATTATATTTTATATTAATATTATATTAAAGATATTTTATAACTTTAATTTAAAGATATTTTATAACTTTAATATAAAATTATACATTTTATATACAAATATTATTAAAATAATTTACATCTCATAAAAACATTGTTTCTTGGTCGTTTTTTCCCTCTAAATCAACATGCATCAGTTAAAATTTAATTCACCCAGTATCCAGCAAACAACATATCAGCTAAAAAGTATCTCATGCACAGGGTTCCTACAGGTTTCTTCAAGTTAAATTCAAGTCTTTTTAAGACCTTTTTAAGACCATTTATATAAAAAATTAATACCTATTTCACGTCCCTACCAGCAAAGAAAAACAAATTCCTTCAACTTGTGTTCATTTATTTTTCAAATGTGGAATGGGTAAAAGATGATAAGCCAAGCAGGTGTGAAAAATAAAAACATTTCAGTAGGCCACAAGAAAGTTTGCCGAACAATGTTAAGTTGTGTTTTAACATTAGCTAGCTACTTATTCCATGCTGGGAATATGGGGAACTGAGAGACCCCTGAACAATAAACATCGAAAATCATAATAATCGTGGTTGACAAATGAATTTGAGGAAAAATACAATACGGAGAAGTTACATATGCAGTGTTCATTTTGACAGCAAATTTTGATTTAGTTTTAGTCTCAGTCTTTTGACTAAAAATATGACTAAAACTAATTTTTGTCATATTTTAGTCATCTGAATTGTTTTTAGTTTTAGTCTAGTTTTAGTTGACGAAATACATCAAGATTTTAGTGATTTTTGATTTTAGTTTTTTTGATTTTCTAAATCTACTGTAAACTAAATCTAGAGTAGATTTAGTCGACTAAAATATAATGGTTTTAGGTAAATTGTAATGCATTAATTTAGAATTTCTCTAAAATTTCCAAACCCATACACTCCCGGAGAAAACATTTATTAACCTATTAATATGAATGATTTTTAAGTTTGAACATGCAATACAGATACAGATTTAACTACTGTGACTTAAAAAAATATCTTAAAATTAAATAAAACCACTTTTCCTAAAGTAAAACACAGTCTTCTTTTCAATTAATGATATATGCATTCTTTATAACAACTTACATACATCATCCTTTATTCTTTCAAGTAGACAATTATTTGTATGAATTAAATATAATTAATCCTTATTAAAGCTATTAACAAACAGTGAATGCTTTTCTCTTTTTATTTTGTTGCTTGATCAAAATTAATGACACAGACCGCATTATGTTTATTGCCACTGTCACTTTAAGACATCGGCCAATGGGACTTTGGACTTTAAGACATGTCCAATCATGACATGCGGATACGATTGCACTGATGCACACCCGATACAACTGTTTAACATAACCGACATAGTTTACATGAATACTGTCCATACCGGACATTTAGACATAATGTTGTTTGTATTTGTCCATTCAGACACGAAAGAGAGCTCATCAGTTCAGTACTCGCGCGCTGTATGCAGTGGCGGCTCCAGACAATTTTGATTGGGGGGCAATGGGGGGTCCTGGTCATTTCAAGGGGGGTCTCATGAAAACCAACAAAAAATACAGTGGACACGGCTAATAACTGCATATTACTGCTACTTAACAACAAAAACAACACAGCATATCAACTACTTTGTTTTTAATTAATTAATCAATTGCATTTTGCAAACAATATGCTCGAATTTTAATTGCCATAGCCACACCCCTGACAGAAAACATATTTACAAAATAGTATCTATTGTCATACTCGCACTACCTTTTGATTACCCTACTTCTGTCCAGTCTCCTCCTGTCTTCTTCTCTGCCATTTGCCATCACAGGAATAAATTACATTTTTTAAATATATTAAAATATAGCCTAATTATTTTAAATTCCATTATAATATTTTATAATATTACAGTTTATCAAATAAATGCATCCTTGGTGATCCATGAGAGACTTTCAAAAACATAAAACAAATATTACAGACCCCAAGCTTTTGAACGGTAATGTACCTAACAGTGTTTAATCTGTGTCATAAAACAGATCACCTCATTCCTTTTTTCAAGCTTCTCTCGGTCTAATCTTGATGTCTCAGCCATTTCGTAAATTTTGTCTTGTGCCTGCTAAAGTTGTAGCTGTAATTACAGAATTGTCTTGAATCAGGATTGAAATACTTATACTCACAAAAAAAACCTAAAGTTTAAAGGGGTTGGTATAATGCCCTTTTCATACGATGTAAAATAAGTCGTGTCCCCAGAGTGTGTATGTGAAGTTTTAGCTCAAAATAGGCTACCCCACAGATAATTTTATATAGCATGTTAAAATTGACACTTTTTGAGGAGACTGGATATAATGAGTGACCACCAGATCCATGCACACTGTGAAAAAAAATGACGACAGGCAAAACAAAAAGCCGCGTCTTTTGACACAGAATAGCCTATTCAAGCCACTGGTACGGTTTGAATCACGAGCAACTAAAACCCCTGGATGCTAGCTCCCCCTGCGATCCAAAAGAACGACGCGGGTATGATTTTAGTTGAGGCTGTCTTGGTTTCTCTGCTGGGCCATGGCTTAAATCCCCCGTTAAATCCACTCAGCCGTCAGGATTCCCACCATCCGTGCCCGCTGTGGCGTAGCAGCTCTTGCGGGCTCGCCTTGAACGCAATGACGCAAGGCGCAGCGACGTTCATGGGCCGTCGCAGTGATTCTATGTTTATATTTTTTTATATGTCGAATAAATTATTAATTACTATTGTTCTGCGTAGTTTGAAGAGAAACATTTTTAAATCTTTATATATTTATTAATCAGGAAGGAAGTGGGCGGTCAAATTGGGGGTCAAAGCGTTTTTTTGGGAGGGGCCTGAGACCCCCCAAGACCCCCCCTGGCGCCGCCACTGGCTGTATGGTGTCTATGTGCACGGCTGCACCACGCTTCAGGTTGGTTTACATTTTTAACATTTTATGAGACCACGGGGTAGATCAGCACGTTACAGTACAAATGTGTGCATCTAGCACACACGCAGGACATCAGTTCTGACTGGATCGCTTCCCAGATCGACACTATCTAACATTTTCATCTAGTTTTTATTCGTTGATGAAAATGTCAACGATTGAAAAAGTCAATGATTTTCGTCATTCAAAGCTAGGTTTTATTTACTAGCGTCTCGTTTTCGTCAGTGAAGAATGTCGTTGAAGAAAAGTTTTCGGCATTATATTCGTCAATGAAATACACTGACATACAGCACAATTTTTAAGACCCAGACATCCAAATTTAAGACTTTTTAAGGTATTATTTCCACATTCATAAATTCAATGCTTTTAAGGCTTTTTAAGACCCCGTGGGAACCCTGCATGCACCTTTAACAAAGACACGTACCTTTTGTTGTGTTTCTGCCTGCAGATGCAGTAAAGTGCATTAGGGTCATAACCATCACTGTCGCAATCACTGGACGACGACTCATCATCATCGTCGTCATCGTCATCGTCCTCCTCATTCTCTTTCTTCTCTTTGCGGAGCTTCACTCCTACTTTGGGTTTAGTGTCTCTTTTAGAATCTTTACTGACTGCTCTGGTAGGACGTCTATTTATGGACTCATTTGAGGACTTCTCTTTGCTCTTATTACCATCCTCCACATCTTCCTCTTCTTTCATCTCCACATCCATCGCTTGTTCCTTTTTTGCTTCCACATCCTTCCCATCTTCAGCACTGGCCTCAGTCTCAACGTGTTCTTCAGTCTCTTTCATTACTTCATTTTCAGCCTCATCTTCGTTTTCAGAGCTGCCATCATCACTCACTGAGTCTCCGCCTGCTTTAGGTGTCACTGCCCTCCTCGCCCTTCCCCGGCCCCTTTTCTCTGGTGAGGCCACTTTCTGTTCCTCTAATTTGGCTTCGGCATTTCCGTCAAAGCTGGCCTCGGAAGCAGTTTCAGCATCGGTTGGGGTCTGGGATGGAGGATCCCCTCCCTCAAGTCGTGAGGGACAACTTCTCCTGCCCGTTCCTCTTCCTCGCTTCACAGTGACCAGAAACTCTTCCAGTTTGTCCGTGCGCTTTGCCTGCCTGCCGCTACGACGCACTGGGGCGCCCTTGCCCTCTGGAGTCTCCGCTGCCATTTCTCCAGGGATTTCCCTCTTAGCAATGGTAGTCCGACGAAAGCCCCAAGTCTTCTTAAACTCGCGTAAGGGCTTTGTGGATTTGTCAGGGTCCTCTACTTTGTCTTCACTAACATCACCTTGGTCTTTTTGATCTTTGACTTCGTCTGAGACCGATGTTGGTTCTGTGTGTGAAACGTAGCAAAATTAGTTGACAATAAATGTTTAAATGCTAGAGATATGCAATTTGATTCACAAAACTGTGATATGTACATCCAAGCTGATAAATCAATCAAAATGCAGGTGCAATTTCAGTAAAAACATGTTAATTGATTTGGTGATGTGACGTCACACCACACATTGAAAAAAAGATTTTAAAAAAAAGCTTTTAGCCATTTAATACTTTCCAGTGCATGCACAGAATAGATAGGAACTCTTAAATCTCAATGATTACATCCTGTTTCAATTATTTCCCAATTTGAAATCCTGATTGGAGTCAATGGTGGAGTGGGCCGTGGGTACCTTGTGAACTGGTATCCACAGGATCCTGGCTGGGCTCAGGCTCATGGGCTTGAGCCAGCTCAGGGCTCACACTCTCCTCCATAGCAGAGAGACACTATTTTTCAAACAGAATATCTATAATTAAGAAAGAACAAAGATTTAATGGAGAGCACAACTCCCAAATAGTATTACAAATTCCTAAGCGAATAGTCTTCTCAGCTGAAGCCTTGTGGAATCCTAGTAGAAGGTGCTAATGAGTCTTTCCTTTGGATGTGCCATGCATGCATTTAGTAAATTGTATTGATGAGGCCTATAAAAAAGGATTTAACATGCTTGAGATGTCTAAAAGTGCTCCATCCTTGATCTATTGCATTCAGGGTGTAGTCAAATTAAAATACACTATATACAAATTTAAGGATGTGTAAAATATTCTCTAAACCATTTAGACGACAAGAACAAAACCATGACACTGATGGAAACTATTTCTCTTCTTGTTCATACAGTGCACACTGGGCTTCTCTCAACTAAATCACATTAAACAAATCACACTGGGCTTCTCTCAACTAAATCACATTAAACAAATATTTCTAAATATCTTAATATAATTAATATCTAGAACATGTTCAAACTGTATACCAAATACACAACTTTGCATATACAAATAATACTAATATTAACCATTTCCCACATGTAAATTCCAAACTTTACTCACAGCATTGTCAATTATACAGTAAAACTAAATAGTTTATGAATTGTGTAAGTGTTGCATCAAATAGGTACACTGAACTGAACATATATGAACACACTAAAGTTCAAAGTTTTTTTTTTTTTTTTTAAAGATTAAAAAAAATATTTTAATACTTTTATTCAGCAAGGAAACATTGAATTGATAAAAAAAGCAGTTTTGCCATGGCAAGAATAAAAAATTACATTTTAAATTGCACTAAAATAGAAACAATAATTTTAAATGTAATATTTCATAATATTACACTTAACTAGGCTATATTTTATTTCAACTATAAATGCAGCCTTGGTGAACAACTTATTTCAAGTCTATACACACACACACACACACACACACAAACACACAACAAGAATTAGAATAAAATACCACATCAGTGGAATAGTAGTAGAAAATATTCCATAAAATTATTTTATTCTTAAAAAATAAGCAGGATCAGTTGAAAACATATCTACTTAATTTATAGACAAATGTTTCATCATAAAAAGTTTGTGCATTTTGAGTTTGAATATATTTTTTCTGAAAAGGACTTAAAGGGTTAGTTCACCCAAAAATGAAAATTCTGTCAGTATTTACTCACCCTCATGTTGTTCCAACCCCGTAAGACCTTCGTTCATCTTCGGAACACGAATTAAGATATTTTTGATGAAATCTGAGAGCTGGATCACTCCTCCAAACTAGTCCATAGGCTTCTTCAGGGATTGAACTTGCCGGCCTCGAAAAGTTATTAAAGACATCGTTAAAATAGTCCAAGTGACTACAGTGGCTCAATTTTAAGTTTATCAAGCGACGAGAATACTTTTTGTGCGCAAAAACAAACAAAAATAACGACTTTATTTCAACTATTCATTTCCTTCTCTTTGGGCCTCTAGTCAGTTAACGTAGTGTGATTCCGTAGAGCTACGTCACACGTAGGCTCACTATTGGCCGACGCTGGTCATGTGCGTGATGCGTGTGACGTACAACAACAGAAGCTTAGGGCCATTACATAGTCAACGCGAGCAACGCGAGCAAGCAACGCGAGCTACGCGCTCCTTTTCATAGTACACAAGCGTCACCGGCGATGCGTGAAATGCAATACACCGATCGCGCAGCAGGGGGTAGAAGAGTCTAGAGTCGGGTCACGTAATATTCAGATCAAAATGGCAACTGAAGAGGAGTGCATATTAGGGGTGCACGATTCAGAAAATGTCACGATTCGATACCGATTTTTTGTCTCAAGATTCGATTCAAAATCGATTTTCCATTCAAAAACGATTCTCGATTCAAAAAACGATTCACAGTATATAAATGTAGTTTACTTTTTCCTATGTGATTGATTGCAGTAGACACAATTTAAAAGAAAAAAAAAACACAACAAATTAAATGTAGTTTGATATTACTTTGTCTTCATACAAAAATAAAAACTTTTGCAACTAAAAAGTGCAAAGTGCCAAGCTTTGGCCAGCTTTCAAATACATTTAATTCAAGTTTAAAATAAAACTTAAATAAAAAGCTTTTACATTTAGCTTTAAAGTGCTGTAGTCAGATCAAACAAACAATTATGCTAAATGTGGTTTAAGGACTACTTCAGCTACCAGGTTGACTGTTGAAATGTGAACTCGACTGGGCACATTGAACTTCCTAAAAATATACTAATGTCATAGAACCCTTGCGAAATAATTTTAAATAGATTTTAAAAAGCCACCGCTACTGGTAACATCTATGGTTAGATTGATTTGTTTAGATCCAGTGAAGTCGTTCATAGGCGTAATTTGCGGGTATCTCCAGTTAACTAGCAGAGCATTAATTTAGTTCGCTATTAAGTAAGAGATCTGTTGTTTTTGAAATCAAGCTGAGCGCTGACAGCGCTCGTTGCCGCTGCTATCAGTGTCATGGATACAGTGTTCTCTGTGGCTCGCGCAGTCTTCACTCGGACGCGCTCTTCAATCTATCGCCGTTGTGGAGACTCCGGTAAAATCTCAAAAATAAAATGCACACAAACGTGATGAACATATTCGGTTTTGATGAGAGAGAGAAAAAACTATACGAGTGCGGTTTAGAACCGGTAACCTCTGACACGCTTGGCAAAAGATCTACAGACCATTAAGAACTCAAACATAATCTGCGGATCGATGCATTTATTTACGGGTTAAGCAGAGAGGCTGCACAGTTTGACCAGCAGGCGGCAAGAACTTGCAATGTAACTATTTATCAGACCGGCCCTCGCAGCCTCGAAACACTACCGGACCACCGGTAAAAGTCCCGACTCACCCGATTGCCACTCCGCCCGTGCACGCCATAAAAAAAAAAAATATGAATCGATTTTTGGAATTCTATGAATCGATTCTGAATCGGTAAAGATTGAATCGCGATTCAAATGTGAATCGATTTTTTTGCACACCCCTACATATTGCTGATTTTACATCGGCGGCAACAAAGGATGTAAACGAACAAGCTCACATTACTTTTCCTCTTCGCCCGCCATTGTATTCAAATCTTCTTCTTCTGTAAACATAATAATATACCTTTTTATGTACATTACTTGCAATGTCGCCCCCACCGACAACGCATAGTATTGCGTGCATCGGCGCGTCGCGTATCAAAAACTAGGATGACACATTTGGCTACGCATCCACGCATAATGGCGGCCGAAGCGTAGCGATGTGTAGCCTTGCGCACGCGTATGCGTACCGATGCGTTGACTATGTAAGGGCCCTTACGCTATTACATAGGGGTGCACGATTCAGAAAATGTCACGATTCGATACCGATTTTTTGTCTCAAGATTCGATTCAAAAACGATTTTCGATTCAAAAACGATTCTCGATTCAAAAAACGATTCGCAGTATATAAATGTAGTTTACTTTTTCCTATGTGATTGATTGCAGTAGACACAATTTAAAAGAAAAAAAACACAACAAATTAAATGTAGTTTGATATTACTTTATAGGCTATTTCTTCATATAAAAATAAAAACTTATTTTTACTTTTTTTTTTTTTTACTTTTTAGCAACTAAAAAGTGCAAAGTGCCAAGCTTTGGCCAGCTTTCAAATACATTTAATTCAAGTTTAAAATAAAACTCAAATAAAAAGCTTTTACATTTAGCTTAACAGTGCTGTAGTCAGATCAAACAAACAAATGCTAAATTTGGTTTAAGGACTACTTCAGCTACCAGGTTGACTGTTGAAATGTGAACATTGAACTTCCTAAAAATATACTAATGTCATAGAACCCTTGCGAAATAATTTTAAATAGATTTTAAAAAGCCACCGCTACTGGTAACATCTATGGTTAGATTGATTTATTTAGATCCAGTGAAGTCGTTCATAGGCGTAATTTGCGGGTATCTCCAGTTAACTAGCAGAGCATTCATTCAGTTCGCTATTAAATAAGAGATCTGTTGTTTTTTAAATTAAGCTGTGCGCTCGTTGCCGCTGCTATCAGTGTCATGGATACAGTGTTCTCTGTGGCTCGCGCAGTCTTCACTCGGACGCGCGCTTCAATCTATCGCCGTTGTGGAGACTCCGGTAAAATCACAAAATAAAATGCAGACAAACGTGATGAACATATTCGGTTATCATGATGAGAGAGAGAAAAAACTATACGAGTGCGGTTTAGAACCCGTAACCTCTGACACGCTTGGCAAAAGATCTACAGACCATTAAGAACTCAAACATAAGATCTGCGGATCGAGATCGATGCATTTATTCACGGGTTGAGCAGAGAGGCTGCACAGTTTGACCAGCAGGCGGCAAGAACTTGCAATGTAACTATTTATCAGACCGGCCCTCGCAGCCTCGAAACACTACCGGACCACCGGTAAAAGTCCCGACTCACCCGATTGCCACTCCGCCCGTGCACGCCATTAAAAAAAATATATCTATGAATCCAAAAAAAAATCTATTCACATTTGAATCGCGATTCAATCTTTACCGATTCAGAATCGCGATTCAAATGTGAATCGATTTTTTTGCACACCCCTAGTGAACTGACTCGAGGCTCACAGAGAAGGAAATGAATAGTTGAAATAAAGTCGTTATTTTTGTTTTGTTTTTGCGCACAAAAAGTATTCTCGTCGCTTGATAAACTTAAGATTGAGCCACTGTAGTCACCTGGACTATTTTAACGATGTCTTTAATAACTTTTCGAGGCCGGCAAGTTCAATCCCTGAAGAAGCCTATGGACTAGTATGGAGGAGTGATCCAGCTCTCAGATTTCATCAAAAATATCTTAATTCGTGTTCCGAAGACGAACGAAGGTCTTACGGGGTTGGAAGAACATGAGGGTGAGTAAATACTGACAGAATTTTCATTTTTGGGTGAACTAACCCTTTAAGACTAAGCAATACACTCTTTCAAGTAGACATAAATAGACATGCATATATCAAGTTTTACTGAAAACCTCCACCATTGAATTGTGTATTTTAAGTTTCATACAACAGTGTAATACATTTATTACATAGAGTATTATTCTAGTAGTCTAATTATAATGCACTTTTGAATTACAGTCAATGCATTGAATTTTCATCATTCAGTTTAATTCATTTGACATGTTTACACACTAGGAATTAATTTCATATTACTATGCAAAAACTACTTTTGATTATTTGGGGCTTCATACAATTGCATGCCATCTTTGATGGACTTTAGTATGACGTGATAGTTATATCAAATATATCTGGTTTAAGGCATACAGAACTCAGCATGATGCAGCATATCACAATGAAGATATTTCAATGGCAAGAGCTGCATTAATAACAATAAATAAAGGCTGTATACATCTTTAACAATACAATCTAGAGAAAACCAGATCTGCTGTAAGAAGACACCTGCATTCTCTAACATACATTTGGCATCCTCTAACAGGTAAAGTGGCATAAGTCATATTTATAAGTTTCAAGGACACAATTACCATTCTCACTACGATAAACAGTAACAGTAGGACTTCAGTTGTCAAAAAACATGCCGTCTCTCATACTAACAGTAGTGAAATGCTGTACCTGTTTGCTATGATGACTGGAACTCTTCTATTTAAGATACTGATCTATAAACAACGAAAAGAATAGTTAAAAATTAGCAATGAAAACTTGACCTCTCATGTTAAGAAGTTAACTCAATGTGCTAGGTTGTCATTTCAGCAAAACATAACTCTTTCTGTATGTAATCTATGTTCCTATTCAGCCAGTTTAGTCCAAGTTATACAAAAAGAAAAAAAAAGCTCTCCAACCATGTACCAAAACTGTTACACAAGATCAATTAAACAAAAATCTGCATGTTTGTCACAATTTTGCACATTGTAGGTAAAAAACATTAGATCGATGTCCATGAGTGACAAATTGCTAATTATGTCTACAAATCAATAAAAAAACTACAGTTAATACGTTTTCAAAAATAACCAGTTTACCTGAATACAATAAGCAAATGGACATTCTATACATAAATAAATATGCCATATATTTGAATCCTCCTTACTTAGTAGCTCAAACAAACACCAAAAATATTCATCAACTACTGCAATAGACCAAATATTAAAAGCAAATATTACTGAAAACATGTCATGCATTAACCCAAAATATTGAGATATATTGAAACAAAACAAATAATGAAAAGAAAATGTACATTACAAGTGTGCTCAAGGCCTTAGTTATTAAACGTGCCTGAGGCATAAAAATTAACCTTGTCTAGTGTAGGCCTAACTTAAAGAAAGATTATGCATTGTCAGAAGGAGTGATATTTATGAACACAGCATTCCTACATACTACATTGGTCGTTTTAAACTAAATAAATAAGAAATACTGTGCTCTGCATTGGCCGCCCACAGTAACAAGTAACGTTAGCTAACGTTAGCTTAAGTTACACGCCAACAAAACTGACACGAGCAACTAAGCAAAACTATAAGCCCTAACGTTACCTGCTGTAAAATACACATAAGCGTAACAAAGAAAAGGCGACAAAATGAGATAAAACAAACGCTTTTCCAGGATTAAATTGAGATTTGTTACTTGCCCGTTAGCTTTAGCTAATAGCTAGCGCACATAGCTAGCGCACGGCCTCCATATCTTGTCTCTCACACTAGAGATAATTTTACTCCTGCTATTTTGTTCCTAAAACTTATACATACGAGGCTGTGTGTATATGGCGTTGAATATTACTGAATATAGTTCTGATTGGACTGTACGTACTACTGGTGCTAAATCTAACATTTCTGCGAATCGGTTTTTTCGAACAGCCCTTGCTGCCGTTTTTCGTCATCGAGCAATGACGCCATCACGTGGTCCCTAAATCCCGGCGTTCCAATAAAACATTAAGTACGCATATGTTGCTGATTATTATGTTATTGATAAATATGCGTTTGTAGGTGTATATTATTTAGTGTGCCCCAGTGTCGCGAGAGAATCATACCGACTCGTTTACGAATCGCATGTAGTAAGCGCACTGGTGGGTTTCAGTCACGGAGAGCTGCCACGTGAGAAGCTGTTATCGTCTACACGTAATTTTTATTATTTAAATGACTAAATAATTTAGAGAGAGTTCAAAATCATGGAATAAATGCTAAAGATTTAAAATACTTAAACAAGGTTTTAAAAGTATGTCACACATATCATTATCTGCAAGGGCTAACTTTCCATTCATGCAGCAAAATAACGTTACATAAACTACCTTAACATTACAATAAATTAGACCCAAATAAAAGCACAAAAATATTGTGCACAACATTAACTTATACGTTAGTGCAGAGAAGCGCACACACCCACTTTGTCGACACAGTACAAATCAAAACTTCACTGCATTAAAATTCGCATAAAACAATCACAAATAAATACGTAAATAATGCAATCGGGTACATAGCAATATGTAAATAGTTTAGACAATAACGTACAGTCAAATTTTAATAAAATAAGATTACCAATTCATAAAACAGTCATGCGTTTAAACTCGCATTGCAACAGCTATTAATCAAAATACAGCTGTACTTTTCTGTCCCGGGTTGGTTTTCTCCATCTGAAATAATCTTTTCTTATCGTAACGTTATATCAAATAAATACGGAGGCTCGTGGCGCCATTACTGGAGCGCGAGTTGCACTGATGTAAATATGGCAAACTGTGTCTGCATCTCTGCCTTTATTAAGCACAAATGACCAGCGAAATAGCATGCACTAGTGCTCATTACAACTGGAAATGCATACTTACTTGTTAGCATTAACGTCGTTTGGCGTACGGTCAATGCAACGGTGTGACCTCCATTTTCTTTTCTTGTTGATGATGGCGGCGAATTTTTGCCTGTAGTGCTCCGGTCCAGATAGCGTGAGACGAAGCACATTCGACGTTGAAGTTACAATGTAGGACAGCGACGCAGTGTCGTGGGGGTGAAATTGCATCATCCTCAGATATCTGACATGCAGAAGTGCGCCCTCTACTTTTCAGAATCAGAATAGGCCTATATTGCTAATATGCTTACACTCACAAGGGATTTGTCTCGGTGACAGAAGCTTCCAGTGTCCAGTCAGAATGACAACAATTAAGACAAGGGTAATAAGAATAAAAGGAAAATAAATATATAAAAATAGACAAAAAAGGCATTTGACAATGTAGGCCCTACGATAAATATGCACCAATTTTATAAGGGAATGTGAATAAGAGGTATGATATCCTAAACTACAAAAAGTATAAATAGAGTTGGGTATTGCACATGTTTTTATTGTAAAGTGGGGGCATTTAACGGTTCATAAGGGAGATGGTCTGAGGAAAGAAACTTTTCTTTTGTCTGGCTGTTCAGGTGCTCATAGCGCCAACCAGACGGCAACAGTTCAAAGAAGAAGTGGCCTGGATGTGAGAGGTCCAGAGGGATTTTTCCAGCCCCTTTCCTCACTCTGGATGACTTTCCTCATTCTTGGAGTGTGGGAAGAGTTGTACCGATGATTCTCTCAGCAGTCTGGACTATCCGCTGTAGTCTTCTGAGGTCTGAATTGGTAGCTGAGCCAAACCAATCCCTTTCAGGCAAGTCATTTCATTTCAGGCAGGAGCAGCCAATGCACAGGATCTAAAGCAGCTGATTGGCTCTTTCATTTAGAAGGTGGGACTTATTCCACCATATGCATTGCACTTTCTCCCATTCATAGTAATACCAGTGCACAATCTTTCTTCTTTCTAAAGTATTTGGCCAAACCAGACAAGAAGTGCAGAGGACAGACCCTATGACTGGCAGAACTTTGTCAGCTAAAGTCACCATGAAATCAGAATTGACCATTCTAATATTTTATGGAGTATTGCTGGCAATTTTATTATAAATTATTTTTCCGTGCACATCATTATTATTTTAAAATTATAATCTTTAATGAAAATAACATTGTGTTACGTACTTAACCACGGTTCTGTGAACAGAAGTAAGGTATTGCACTATGGGAGATGCCTCAGGCGTGACCAATCCTGGAATTACCAATTACACCACATCTGTCAGTTGACCAATCACGACAGTGATGCAGGATTCCCGCCTCCTTAATATATATTGCTGCTAGCGGTCTCCACTTCATTTTCAGCATATCTCTGTGCAACTGCAAGGAGGAATTCTTGAATAAAACAAAAACAAAAAAACACCTCATGAATAAGTGTTTTTTACACACGTAGGATGGAATGAGCCAGTTATGGTTCTGTGACATCCAGTCAATAAAATTGGACAAAAGTGTGAGGCGAAGCCCAGCTTGTTGCTGCACATGTGTCCTTAAATAGTGCCCATGAGGTAGCCATACTTCTGGTAGACTGAGCCCTCTGCCATGAAACAAATAACTTAATTTGTTTTAATTTGTGCACCATTGCTCAAACACATTCCATTTCCGATCATATGCACTCTGAAGACGCCCTGGTATTCTGAATAGTCTTAATCACCCTTGAAGGCAAACCCGTAACACTCAAGTTTAACCTCTCACAAGCCAGACCCAAAGAGTCACTTTGTCCAGGGCTGGGTGAAAAAAATCCCTGGAGGTCCCTGTGCAGCAGGAGAGGTCAGGGCTGGTCACACAGGAGCTGGATTATCACAATTTCCCGGGCCAGTTTGGGGCGATCAGTATGACTGAGTGACCGCATTCTCGTTCATATTTTAGTGTTGGTACGATCAGACTGTTGGTACGTGGAGGAAACACGTAAAGCAATGCGTTTGGCCGTAGTTGCGCTAAAGCCTCCACAGCCACAGTCTCTCGCCAGAGAGAAAAATAGAGGGCAATGAGTGTTTTTGTGCGAGGAGAAGGGATCTACAGCAGCTTGGCAAAATCTTTTCCACAACTGGCTCACTACCTGAGGATGGAGAGTCCAGCGCCACTGTCCAGTTCTGAAACCCTCTCACTCACAACAGTCCCAGTGGAATAAATGTGAAGGTTGAGGCCATCAGTCTCAGAAGATGTGAACAGTCTGAATGGGACCTTCTTCCCCTTCTGAAAAAGGGATAAACAGCCGTGAATTGAGCTGATGCACTCCTCCAACAGAAATGCTTGATCTGAGGTCTGACTATTTAGGTGTGAGTTTAATCTGAGACCTAGGTAGATTATATATTGTATGGACACCAAGCAGCTTTTAGTCTTGTTAATTTTGAAACCTAAGTTCTCTAAATGAGACATGAGTACTTTTGTATCTATCTCTGCCTGCTGCTGTGACAGAGCACCGAGGAGCAGTGGTCTTAGCACTTCCGAGTCTGGTGGTCCCAACTAAGTCCGGTGGTCCTGGAGATTCTTCCACTGTCTGCCGCACTTCCTGAGATGGCAACCGCCATCTTGTGTGTTTGGGCCACACATACTTTCTCAGCTCCTCCAGAGGCGGCGGCGTCCATTCTTGAACCCTCTTTCTGCCTAGTCACGGCCAAGGAGGCTGTCTCTGAACCCCTTTGCATGTCCCGCCATGGCTAAGGAGGCCACCTCTGAACCCTCTGTGCTTCCATACCCCGCCGTGGTCTCCAGGTCTGCCTTGGTGGTCTTCAGTTCCATCTGCTCTGTCTCAGTCTCCAGGCCCTTTACCACTCCACGGGCCTGGTCCTCCATCCTTCCCCTGTTCTGCCTCCGCTCCATCACCCTCCTAGACTCTTGTTTCTATTTTTGGAGAGTCTAGAATCTGCTTGGTTGATTCCTGTCTTGTTTCCAGAATTCCTTGTACCCATAGTTCCAGTATTTCACTTCCTGTGTTTAGTCTTTGTTTGCGTTTGTTTCTATAGTTACCCACATTAGTTTACATAGTGATTCATTGTTTACACCTGTCCCTTGTTATGTTGTGTATATAAACACGTGTTTCCTGTGTTTTTTTGTCAAGTCTACAGTATCTGTTGGCGTGCTCAGTTCTGTTCCATTTATGTGTTCCTGGAGTCTGTTATTTTGTTTATTTTGGTTCCTTTTACATTTGTTTCCTTTAATAAACCTTATTAGCATTTGGAATCGGATCCAACCCTCCTTCGTTTCTGAGTACACCCCACATTACATTATTACACAAACATTGGATTCGGTCTTGCCTTATTACCTTCCTTTAGATCCAGCAAGTCTTCAAATTGATACAAGATTTGACAGCAATAATAACAGAGATATTCACAAAATATTATGCAACAAGCCACCACAAACATATTGTGGCAAAAACAAAACACTTGTTTTAGTAATCACTTACATGTAACCCAGACATATATGCACCATACAACTTAACACAGATTTTCTGTAATACTGTCATATTAAAACACATTTGATGGTCCAAATAAGGTGTATAGGTGTGAAGTCCACTTTTTTCTATTGTTAATGTCAATCACTCATCAAAGTATGACTCCAATGTGAAACATTTACATAGGTGTTCTCTTTAATTCACTTGCACCATACAAAAACTATTAATTACAATTTAGACCACCAGATCTTTATTTATATACAATATGTAAACATCTACCTGTTCTTCTGGACCGCTCTCCTTTTCTGTACATGTTTTGGAATAACATATTTATGCACTATTGATAGCATAACAGAGGAATGTTTGTGGTTCATAGATACAGTATCTTATGGGTTCAGAGAATACAGAGAATACAGCATCAAAATGAATGCCATATGCAAAATTATACCTAACAAAAAAAAAAGTTCTAAACAAGTACTTTAAACTTTCTTAATCATCTGTGTCGGTGTGAAGTTACAGTCCAGTTAACAAGGATATTAAAACTTAATTTAAATAAAACCAATAATAAAAATTTTCCAATGTTTAAATACAAAGTAATCAGGTATTTTTGAAAGATCAAGGAGGAAGCATAAATTACTTGTCTAAAAGTATCTTAAAGGCAAGTAATTCTTTGACACCAACAATATAGGCATGACAAAATCTGTCATTCATCACTGGGCTAGCACTACCTTGCAACTGTTAAACGTAAACGTACGTTTCAACTGTTAAAGGTTAACATAAATAAAAAAGAGCCAATGAGAACTACAGATACAAAATAACATCAACAGGATCAGGTGAACAGACTAAACAAAAAACTGAAGGCATTTAAGATATATTACAGGAAACCAAATGAACAGAGCCTCACATGTATAATGCTCACTCTTATCTAGTGATGATAATACAGTTTTACAACATGTTTCAACCTTTCCATGGACACAAAATCGAACAAGATAAAGCAGTAATCATTTGTGAAACAGTGTTTAAACTCGTCTCAGCAATGTATGGACAATATATAATGTAGTCTCTTAGGTTTTATATAACCAAATGTTCTTTTGATAAATTAGCATAAATAAGATATTCCAATAAATACAGCACAGACTTTTCTTAAAAATACAAAAAATAAAAATAACCACATTTTGTACTATTTTTTGGACTTGGAAATAAAAAAAACCATGTCGCTGTAACCATTTTTAAAGTGAATGATGTTACTCATTCTTTTAGATTATACCTGCAAATCAGGTGTTCTGAAATATTATAAATATAATTTTGGCAACATTAAAAATATGAACTCAAAAGTTATCAGACCCCACATACCCACAAGTTTCAAAAGAAAAAGAAACAAACTGGTCATTCTGTTACAATCAAACTCAGCAGAGCAATAGGACAACCCTCTCAATCCTACACCAGGAAATGTTTGGATGGTCTTTGTGTCTTAGTTTTGGAACATTCAGACAGTCATAACAGAAAAAAAAACAAAAAACATAAGCACAATCAGGCAAGACAAACGGTAGTTGAAAGAGTTTTTGTAGTGAAGAATTTGACAACATCTATATACAGCTGTACAAACATAAGTGCTGTTGTAGTGTATGTTTTGTTGTTGTTGTTTTTTTTACATGTGAGCTAGGACATAGTGATAGTGACATTGTCCTTAGC